TGGATTAAAAACCTGTCTTCCAAGCGGCTGGCATAAGTGGGCCCCGTTAACAAAGCAGTGACAACTCTCCACTTCCTTCTTGCAGAACCATAAGATCTTATCAGAGAAATACCTTGATGAGGACCGCTCCCAGAAGTGGGGAGAGCCCAAGACATGAGGAAAGCACTCCTGACTTGTTTTCTGGGCTTTATCCAATAGAAGTTGAAGTCAATGTAACCATTTGGCTCTGGGTGGACCCCCCTACTGAGCAGAACAGCTGGTTGTATTAAAAAATAGCCTAACCACAACAACTGGACTGGCTGGCAGCCTCAGCAGAGGCCTAAGAGGAGAGGGCCTGGCCCAAGCACTCAGCTTTCCTTTTGCCACAGCCCCCCATGGTGAGGTTTAGGATTACTCCCGTTTGTGGAAGGCAGCCAGGATGCTTGTTGCCATGCTGCGCTGGAGGAGAGGGAAGAAACGCACACGCAAATCCACTTTGCCTCAGGATTCATGCTCCACATGGCACTGACCAAAGCGTTCGCCTCGTGTCCCCAAAATATTAAAGGCCAAACAATATTAAAGTTGCTCCATTCATTCCAGCTGGAGAAGTCAGCAACTCCAGTGATAAGTAGAACGGCTAAAGAGTGGGAGTTTAGAAGTGGAAGTATTGAYTGAGAGCAAGACCTTTAACCTCTGCGCCCGGCCTACGGGAAGGGAAGCGGGCTCCCCTCCTGCCTCGCTAGACGAGTTTCTGTAGCCCTCACCAGCTGGGGTTTAGAAAGCTCTCCTAAAGCTGCCAACTGGCAAACACCATGGAAAAAACACCCCCCAGACTTCCCCCCGGTGCCTGACGGGCCGCGTGCGCTCGCCTACGCGCGGCTCTATCGGCTGCGCTCCCCGCGGCGCCCGTCTCCGCACCTACCCCTCTCTGTGCACAGCCCGCTTTCAGGGCTGTTTTCCTTGGCATTCCCCAGCATTTCCCTTGGAACTAATTGCCAAATAATATAGTTTCTCCTCAGACATCCCCCTTCTGCCAGAGCGCTCCCATGAAGAGGATTATCATTCTCATACTTCTGAATCTCATGCAGTCCCGGTGTCTCTTTCAGTCTGTTCTCCCCCGAGGAGAAGGTCACAAAAAACCCACAAAGCACACAGATTTGTGATTAGATCTGCTCGCTGTTTTCTTTCTGCGCCTCCCCCCCACCTTGAAAAAATGCAAGAAAAAAAATGGAGGTTTTTGTAGAAATTGTGCAAGCAGCTTTGAGAAAGCTTTGGGCTAAAAAGCCTGCACCCTTTGGAAAGAAATGTTTTAATGAAATGCCTCCAAAACTCTTCAGAGGAAAGGTGTTTCTCGGGAAAAAAAAAGAAAAAAAAAGAAGAAAGAATTTCCCTTGAAAAGTAGCTTCAGTGGAAAATTTTCAGGTAGTTTTCACTAGCAATGCAGCACTGAGCAGCTGGGCAGCTCAGCATGCCCTCTGGTGCCAAAGCAAGGCTTCACAGCCCTGTGACTTGACAGCCCCATAGAGCAAAAATAGAGAGCCCATTAAAACACCTGCCCCCACACTTGTGATGTTCTGCCTTCTTTCTATAGTAATTCCTACGAAAATTAAAAATAACAGCAGAGGTGGGAATTGATGCGAAAGGTTTCTCCTTTTTTTTGGGGGGGGGGAGTGCTTTGAGTAAAAATAAAGCCTATGACTTATGAAACCTTAAGGAGAGCCCTGCTGAGCCCTCTTTAACAGTGTGSGCTGCTGCAGCATGCGTATGCAGAAAGTGCAGAGAGAGATTTGCCGGGGGCCAGGCTGAAGCCATCAGCTTTTGTGTGGAAAGAGGGGAAGAAGGAAAGGCAAAACAGCCGCAACAGGACGCRAGAGCCAAGTTTTCGCGGCGGCTCAGCCGAGGCCGTGTGACCAGGCTTCACTTCTCCGTGTCCTAGCCGCGCTACCCTTAGAGGATGGGATATTATGATAATAACCTCCTATCCTTGGGGAATTGCTGCACTGTGGCAGCTGCTGTTTGGCAGCAGAGAGTGGCTGGCTCTGGGACAGCTCTCACCAAGACTAAGTGCATGATGGCAAGTTTTCCTCATGGATCCATTCTGAAGGGGGAAAGGCAGTGCTCCACCACTCTCAGAAGGGGAAATGCTTTCCAAGTGGCTAGAAGGACACCAGTCCAAGGATATAAAGCAYACTGATAAACCTTACAATATGTCYAGTGACTTAACCCAAAGARYTATGTTTGCCAGAAGGGAATTACTTCACCTCACCAGCAATCCGATGTACCCTTCCCCCCTTCCCTGCTCTCCAGCTGTGGGGAAACCCGAGTTGCTTGTGAATCAGCTTCTGAACTGCTGCACTTCACAGGGCTYAACTAGGAGAGTGCAAAAGCAGCAATGGGTCGGTTTGGAGAGCTGTGCATACACTGTGRCAATTAAAAAAGAAAAAAAGAAGATAAGGGTCACAAGCATCTGATTCATACACCATGGAGGGCGTGGGGAGCTGCTGACAGCAGTGGCTCCAGGCATCCCAAGCAAAGCCAGCCTGTGGCACTATCGAAAACATGCCAGGTCTCTGAAGGCTTCTGATTTTCTTAAGCGTCTTGTTATTTGAGGCTCCAGGTTTATATCTGCTGGATGAGGCAGATTATTCTGCAAGGGCCAAATCCACAGAGGAGCCAGGTCGCCCTGCCTTCAGTTGCAGACTAATCAGCAGGACTTCTGCAAGGCCCTTACTGCACAGGAAGCACTTGTGCAGAGAGCCTCATGGACAGGCTCAGCAGTCAGCTTTAGTCAGACGGGTGGCCTTCTGGCCACCTTTGTGGGCCARCCCCGCCAGAAAGTTGGCCCAGGTTTCCATTGCACTATGCAAGGATCTCCTCAAGTCCCTGACTCCACCTCAGACAGCAGTGGCCTTCCCTGCTTGTGGTCTCCTGCCCCAAGCAGGGAAACATGCCATTGCTTTGACCCACACGTGGAAAAACGTACGTGAAAGCTACCTATTCTTGTTGCCTGTTTATCTGATACTTGGAATTTAGTGCATTTTAACCCTGCCCCACGTATGAGCGACTCATTTCCCACCAGAGGTCAAGAAGGTTGAGGGTCAGCTTGAGGAAAGTGTTTTCACTCAAAAAACTGAGCTCCTGACTTGCCTTATTCATCTCCCTGTAAATGACTGGGAGCAGATGGCCCAGCCTCCTTGTGCCAGGCACTCGTTTGCCCAAAGCTGTCACGTTTGTTCAGCTTCTTTGTTCTCCCAGCCCCAGCTCGAGCTCGTCATCACMCCCAGATGAGCTGTCAGTGCCCAGCTTTGTACCTCTGCAGCAGGGAGGGATGGCTGCAGGAGCGAAAAAGAAAGCATATTAAAGGGATCAAATATCTAAACCTGCACCACTCTATTGCAGGCACGTGTGTTTTGAGATAGCTGGAAGCCAGTAGTGCGTAATCCAGAAGATCAGGACATGTTCTCAAGCTTAGACCTTTTGCCGGCCTCCTTTCTCCGAGACGTGAGATATCTCTGTTCAGCTGTCTTGGACACCAAAGAAACACTTAAGAAGCCCTGAAGCCCTCCAGACTACCTCAAAGTCCTTACAGACTCTCTAGACTTCTACTTTTATCTCCATCCAGGATCCTCTAACTTCTAGCTTCAATAGCAAGAAATATAAGCTCTGCAGAGAAGCCTCTTAACCACACTTACTTTACTGTTAAAAGCCACAAGAATTACATGCTTTTAACTATCAAAAAATCCCCCCAAACACTTTCCCACCCTGAGCTGACCCCTTCTTAGGGAATCACAGTTCATCAATATTTCAAACTGAACACAATTATTCCTGCCCTTTGTCCGCTAGGTGATTTTTTTCACGTGAGCTGATGTTTGGCCTCAGTTCCCCTATTGAGCTCCCCTATTTCAGGGCTGGGCACACACAGACAGCACTCTTAAAGGTTCACTGCCRGTGCTCACCTTCCCATCCCCACTCAGAAAAAGCTCTTTCTCCCCGGGGATGCATCAAGAAGCCAGAGTGCAGCAACATGACTTACTGGCTGTAATTTCACTCTATTGCTCTTCCTGGAAAATGGAGAAAAGATTACACTTTGTACTTTATCTAGGACAAAAGCAAGACTCACCATCTGAGAGAGCCACAGTGCTACTTTGAGCAGCTCACTGCAGATACATCCAGATCTTCTGCAATTACGCTCCTTGCTGGTAGTTTCTTAGCAGGTGATGATACTCTAGATGAATTAAAATCATTTTCCTCCTTTCTACCACCTTCTTGTTTTGTCATATGGAACAGCTAGCAGAAGAACTCAGCTAACAGAAGTGTTAAATGAAAGGCGGTAGCTGAAAGCAGTCAGATGATGAACCCCTTGTAATTAGGTTAAAAGCAGCCAGATTACCTACACCTGGTAAATACCTGTTCCTCTATACTGGCAAAAAAATAGCTTTCTGAATGGTTAGCTAAAGGTAAGTGTGATGAATCCCACTCTTTGTATCCATGCTTGTCAGTGACTGACCTTTTGAAGAAATAGTGTCCTTGGTTTCAGAAAAAARGGAGAATGAGGATTGTAACATCTACTCTAGTACCATGTCAAAAACAGTAGCCAGCAAAAAAAGCGCTCAGAGAAGATATAAATCCCAGCTCTGACAGTCCTTTGAACACCCTGCCCAAAGGGAATAACTCTCTAATCCCCCTAAATTTGAGGCTTGTCTGTGTCCTCGAGGAAGAGAATTTAATATTCCTTCTAAAATCCCTAGCTTGAGTTAATCTATGCTATCGTAACTCTGGACAACTTGTTATCCATAAAAATACCCAGTATTTTTCTAACCTTGCRGAGTTCTTGTGCCTATTAATACCATGAGGCAAGTGTGAGGGAACACTGGGTGCTTTTGACATTTTCAAAACACATGGTTTTGCCTTTTCCCCTGGCTTTCCAGATAAACACCGTCATGAGACAGCAGTCCACCCTGCATGGACAGGCCTGTCGTTTTAGGAATGAGACCAGTAATGCTGTTATTTTGTYCCCTCAGGGCTTGAATCCCCATCTCAGGATTAATGGTCCGATGAACATCAACCACTATGCAACGAAGAAGAGCGTGGCAGAGAGCATGCTGGATGTGGCGCTCTTCATGGCCAATGTCACTCAGCTCAAAGCAGTGCTGGAGCAGGGGACCTCCTTTCAGTACTACATCACCCTGATCGTGCTCATCAGCATCTCTCTCTTCTTCCAGGTGCTCATTGGGATTCTCCTCATCATCACTGGTAAGGCAATGTCCTACCTCCCATRTATCCTCACAGGGTGCAAAGCAGCTGGCTCTGATGCACGGGCAGCCAGGAGGTGGGATGGAGAATAAGGAGCCATCTGTCCTGCTAACATGCAGCAGTAACTCAGTTACTTAGGGCCAGCCCATTAGATGGCCTTGACACCCACACTGMAAGACAAGACACACATGACATCTGCTCTATCCTTCTACCTTGCCTCAGGGTAAACCACTATGCCTGTAAAGATCCTGAGACCATTCCACCAGCTCTGTGGCAGTGGTGCCCAGGGGCCACTTGCCCCGTGTGCGTTTACAAGCAGTGAAAGCTCCCAGGGGCTGGAGACTTTTGAATCCTTGTAATTTTGATTTAGAGATGAAGTATAAATCTCAATTTGTTTCTGCATTATATCACACAGCTCGTTTGAACCTGAATGATGTCGCAAAGCAACCCCGCCTGGATGTCCTCAACAATGCTGCCACAGCTCTCATCTTCATCACAGTCATCCTCAACATCTTCATCACAGCCTTTGGAGTGCAGAAAACTGGCCTTTACCCCACCAGGAATTATAGGGGACCTTATTGAGTGTTGGGACAATGGAGTCAGGTAAGGAAAGAGTCAGTTCCCATCACTGCCTGCCCTGCTGTCAGTCTCAGAAAATATCGCTACAAGACTGAGAAGTGGAAGTCTGCTACACAAATAAGCAAAGTCTTTCTGGAGGTGTATTGGTGACTCAAGGGCATCCAAGAGCTATTGAGCAAACTCCTGTAGAGAAGGAGGCCTTGCTTGGTTTTTATAGCAACATCACCAAAACCTCCTGCTTCTGGGATTAACCAGTAGCAAGTAGTTTTCAAAGATGGGAAATCTCACCTTAGCAGTTGAGAGCTAAATTTTGGAAAGAAAAAYGGCTGAGTTCTGGGAGACAGACCAAGATGGCAGTGTTACCTGAGCAGAAAGAAAAGTGCTGGGAAGGCAGTGGGTGAAGGAGCTCTTCACAGTGGCCTGTGTGGTTTGGTGGTGGTGGCTGTTCAGTCATCTAACTCTTTAATTTTCCAAAGAGTCTTTTGTGTGAGAGTCCAGCTGACTGCTTGGCTTCACAGATGAGGGAACAGCACGTTGAGTCCCCAAGGCTCTTAGGTCAAGGTCGTTACCTCTTCCTTACATGACCTGCCACAGGTGAACACAATCCAAAGGCCAAAAGCCCCTGCCAAGAGCAGCAGGACTGGCTTGGTTCTTGTCAGTGCTCAGTGTCATGGCCATGGTGTGTGTTGGAAGATCTGGGTACACTCTGCATGATCCTCCCTGTCTGTGCTACTCCCACGTACTTACTTGGCATGTTTTGTCTTTCCTGCAGGGTGGTGGCAGTGCAACTGATACAGGAAAGCTCTCCTCTGTGTTTTTACTGACCTCAGCAGGATCTAGTCTTCATAAGGAATCCAGAGAAGTGGCTTAAATTTTCAAAATTGTGTTTTGTTATATACAGCCTCTTTTGTGCTTCTGCAGGGGGTAAAAACTTATGTTGCTTTTCAAAGGTAGAGCCAACTTGCAGTGATTTCTAGTGAGAGCTGTAGGAAAAGCAGCAGGTACGGAATTTCAAAGCACAGTTCTGTAAATCTTTTTTCTTGTTTTAGTTGTCTGCTTCTCATATGGAAAACTGCCTTATTTTGTAGAGAAACTCAATTTATTTGATAGGCTAAGTAAACAAAAAAGTCCAGCTTTTCTGTCTCAGGCATAATTTGCTATATTTAAAGCTATGCTATCTAATACTTTATATCCCTAATGTAAGAGTGGATTTTTTCAAACTAAAAAGAAGTTCTCATGGGAGGATAAAACAGTGTGTGTAAGTCAACACAGCTAAAAGGAGTTCAAATGTTTTCCTAGCTGTTTAAAAATAAAATTAAATGGGAAACACTTAAGAAAACAATCATATATTTCTTTCATTGGAAAATGAACTATGACAGAAAATAGATATTATGTCCTGATGCCATCAGAGTTATGTGAGTAATACTGAGTAGTCTGATAATATTTGGGGTTAAAATAGAGAAACTCATTTTACGTAGTCAGACATCTTAGGCTAATTGCCACACTGAGAAACAGCAGATGCATAATGTATCACTTAAAAAATCAACATTTTAAGATGCTATCATTAATATAAATATTTTAAAATATGTAATTTTTATATTGAAAGTTGGAAATTCTGTTGTACTAGAAAAAAAAACTGTTAGAATTCATGAATGTTAAATTCTTTGGAAAGATTTTGTATCCCAAATTAGAATTTTGTAGTTATGCTGAAAAATTGGATATTTTTAATTCTGTGTTATATGCATATTTAAATAATTACATGCTTTTCTGGGTATTAAATGATTTTTCAAAGTAAGACAGTATTAGTGTTCAATATGGATAACATCTTTTGCATACCCTTTCTGCCGCTAAGATGGAAATCTCATGAAGTTATGTGCATAGTATTCTTCAAGAGCTAATGGCAGTGACTGACACTGCTAAAACAAGTAGATATGACCAGATTCTGTTTCCTCTATATTTGACTTTTCAGAATTAAATTTGTTTAAGTCACAGGTGGTGGCTTTGGATGACTTTGTGAATAATCTTGCTAATGGGCAAGATTTAAGGCTAGCATTAGGTCCTTCCCTCAAACAACCACGGTGGAAAGGTGTGTAGAAAAAGGTAGACTGCAAAACAGCCATTCTGTATGTACTGTAATTCTAATTAGCAAAGTTGAGCAGAGTCTAAGCCTGTTTGGTGAATCAGGTACTAAGATATGACCTCTCCCCTGACCAACAGGACTGTGGGAGAAGCGTTTCTGGGAAGCCTCAATAATCCTGCTGTCCTCCAGGATGAAGCTTCACTGGAGAGGCAACAAAACTATTTGCATTCCTTGCAAAACCATCAGTCAAGGTTTTGCAGCCACTACTGGCCTAACTGAGTTTATGAAAAGTTTTAAAAATTATACATCCCATTTGCAGAACACAAATCCCATGACTGTGCTTCACAGAGCAGGAGGCAAAGCGATTAGTAATTATGACTGATCCTTAAAAAGTAGGTTCAGCTGGGGAAGAAGCACCGAGGGGAATTCGTTACCAAACTGTAACTCCAACACTACAGCTGCCAGATGAGGTAGTGCAGTATGTAAGGCCTGAGCTGTGGGCTGCCTGTCATCCAGCACAGGAAAGCAAAGAGCCAGCAATACACTCGAGTGCTTTTTTTCCCCCCTTCTCTTTCCAATGGAATCAGATTCTTTAGTCACGTTGGCTGCCTTTGGCCTCTCTGTACCTGACCCCCATTTGGGCCAAGCTGTTCCTATTCAAGGAAGGCAGGGCTGAAGGGAAACGGGGACACAACTTTCACCAAAGTAAGCCATTGTCATGAAGAATCTTACCTCCCACGTGTGTACCAAGCAAGGACTGAGTCCAGGACCAGGCTTTCACCTGCAGTCTCTATTCATGAAGTGGCCCCTGTTTGTAAGATGGCTTCATTTTGAGTAGGCCCTCTCCATCATACAGCACTCCTACTTTGCCAGCACGTGTATTTATCTAGTTTCTATCCTRTTCCACATGATAAGTCCCAGGGAGACAGGAAAAAGTCTGTTTATTACCATTCCGTTCTCTACAGCCCCTTGCAAAAGGGGATGAAGATAAGTCCCATTCCTATCTGACCATGCTTACCATGTTTTCCTGTMCCATCTGTCCCTTTAGCACCTGCAGAGCTCCTGAGGGCTTGGACAGACACTGACTTATCTCTGTGGCATTGATTRTAACTTTAATTATATGAGACAAAAGAAGAGAACATCCGATTTCTAGTCCATGATGTGTGGGGATGGAAGTGTATGAGCAACACATGGAGAGAAGCGAGCTCTTGTAGGAAGACAATGTATTTATAAAACGTGGGGGAGAACCAGAATATCCCCTGATTTTAACAGAGATGTGGCCAGGAGTCATCTTGAAGACACAGGGCCACTTTAAGGCAGAGAATTCAAAGGTACAACCCAGATTTTTAACACAAGGCATTGGTATCTAAAAACCGAACAACTTAGACATTTACAAACCATGAGAAGGCAGCAAGATATTCATACCAGGAAAACATTAAAGACAAGGACAAAACAAGTCACATTATTTCCACACAATACATTTCTCTTATAACAAAACCCCGTCCTTCTTCGTTCCCTTTGCTGGGCTGCAAATAAACTTCTGGCCAATAATTTGTTCAGGAATGAAAATGYCCTGGTGACAGGGTCAGCACCGATGGACAGAGCCTCTTTTCAGTGCACCCCACACCTCTGGGGCCAGGGTCCACATCCTGGCCTGTGTCCCCATTACAGGGAACAACTGCTCTGCAGGGAGCCCCATCACTTCCCAGCTGTTCCCATCCTGTGACCCGCTGGAGCAGCTCCCTCCCAGTCTGTGTGTCTGACACAGAGGAAAGCACGTGCAAACAAATTTCTTCCTTCCACCGAGCCAGGACACAGCCAGGATGCATATGAAGGGTAAACTTCACTGCCAACTGAAGCAAAACTTCCTAAGAAATCCCTGTGATGGAAACAAGAACAACTTTCCAGGGAAGTCAGCTTCCCTGCTTTGGTAAAGCCGGTTTCTCTGCAACTCTTTGGGAATTGTGCAGCTTCCTGAGAGCCTTTTCATAACTTTGCATGGGGAAGGCAAAAACAAAATCAAAAAGCAGGGTCAGCAGCCCCAGGGCAAAGCCCAGCAGAGCTCCTGCAGGATTGCCTGCTGGCCTGCAAGTGATGGAGCGTGGAGCTTACCCTCATTTTACAGCCGCAGCAGCCTGAGCAGAAAGACAAGGTCTGTCCCCATGGGCTCTCTCCAAGCTCCTCCGCAGGGGCTGCCAACTAGTGCCAATTAGCATGAATCAACTTCCCAACACCAGTGTGTAAAGGCTGATGAAGAAGGGGGCCCCATTGTGCTAGGGACAGAGTAACAACTGTGACTGACGTCCCTACAGCCAGGGTAGTGGCCCCCAGGAAACTGGCCCACGACCCAGTAACTCCTTCCACGTCCACCATGGAGTCCTCATGAGGTAAACACTTCTGTTCACTTACTGGTCTGGGCGAGAAGGCATGAAGGGACCAAGTCCCCTGGACAGCTAAAGCATGGTGGTGAAGTCCTCAGATTCTGCTGGTGATGAGGGCTGTGCTCTGTTTTCTAGCCCCCTTTTTGCTGATTATCCTCTCTGGTGAGGAAGAGTGACTCGTACCAACGAAGGCAGACGCTGCTCATAACTCTCAGCATCCCTGCTGCTTGTGCTCTCCACCAGCCTATCCCTGTCCCACAGGCATTGCCTGACAAGAGCCCATCCAGACAAGCTGTGGAAGCTGCACGGAGTCCACGGAGTCTGGCAAAAGAGCTGCTTCATCAGGCGTGGGGTTGTGCCCGTGTTTGTTGGTGAGCAAAGCACAGGCTCCGACACGCACCCATCAGGTGGCTGATACTGCACGCGCCAGGCAGAAACAGCCTGTTGCAACAGTGCATCACAGACCTGGGCTCTTAAACTCCAGTATTACATAAAGAGAGAGAAAAAAAAAAAAAAAAAAAAAAAAAAAAGAAAAAAGTTGCCAGCCTCTTTCCTCACTCCAGAACCGCAGCATTTCATTTCTTAATCTCTGTATGTGAAAACTCCCTTCCTTCATTAAAAAGACTGCTGATTTGAGCAGAAGGCTAAGACTGTGACTTATTAGCTATTCAGTGTCTAAATTCTGACAAAGGCTCCATGAATTAAGAGCTACATTAATCTCTTGTGCACTTTCCACCATATCTACACACTGTATATTTTTCAACTCTGACTCTGTCAGCCACAGAGCTCACACTGAGGCCACTGGATAATTTGACAGGATTTATACCCCAGAATCTGTATGTTCAGTTTTCCACCTGCAATAATGGGACTTGATGAACTTATCAAGCACCACAGAATTAATAATAAATGAAAACCCAGTTTGAATTGGCATCCACTCCATCCAATTGTAAAAGCAAACAATTCTAGTACCAAGTCYGCATTGCTTGTATCTTACAGACCATTATTACTTGCTTCCCAATGACTCAGAGCTAYGAGCAGCACCCTATGTCAGACTCTTCCTGATGCCTGATATCAGTAGCAGCTTTTTCAGGATGGTTAGAGGAAACTGAAGCTCCAGGGCAAAGCACCGACTGCGCTGTGGATCTCTGTGACTCTGCAGTCCTGAAAAATGGTTACTGGGTGTAAAAACTGTTGCCTTGCACGGGCAGGGGTTTCAGGGCCTGAGAATTCACCCTAGAATCAGCTCTCTGTGCWCTAAGGCTCTTTCCACAGTTCTTTCATCAGTGCTGGCATTCAGTCAGCCCATCCTTTTATTCACTCAGCCCTCTCCTATCCGCATTGCTCCTCTGCTCCTAGTGCAAGTGCCAAGCCCTGAAAATACCTCCTCAGTACGAGGCCAGAGCTCCCAGGACTGTTCCAGAAATGAAGCACCAATAACTGCCTGTTCTTCAGTATAAACAAGCCTGCTCTTTACATAAAAGTCAAACTATGACAGGACGTAACTGTGAAGCCATAACTTATTAAATTAACCTTTAGATGCTGCATAAATGTACAGGATTTAGAGAGCAGAATACTCTTTTTATTCTAACAAACTCACAATTTTAAACTAATAAAATATTGCCACTTCTTCYCTGCTAGGGTTTCCCTGATATCGTTAGGACAAACACACATGTCTGTCAGATAAGGCTGCTAGGTTCTCCTGAGCACCTCCTGAGGTGTCCTCCAAGATCCTTGGCATAACCTCTCCACTAGCCTCAAGCAGTAGATAAATAATTCAGGTTGAGTTGTAACATCAGCCCCTGCTGCACTGCTCAGCTGGAGGAAGAAGCAACTTTCACAAGGGAGGGATACTTCAGGCTCCATCCATAGTCCTTACCTCACTGAATATGAGATTTTTCTTTTCCTAATGATCCAAGTGAAAAGCACAGAGAAATGTCTAAGCATGGACAGCCTAAAGTGCCTATCAGTTCCTCCTTGTCCAGACTTGGTTGGGTCAGTACATAGGTGTACAGACACAATACAGTTCGGAGAACTTATTTTGGTCCCCTGYTGAAAAGCATGGATTCCAGAGAGCCTCTGTGTATGTGTGT